TTCGGAGGTGCTTGTCTTTCATTAAACACTAAACACCCTAAGAGTGAGCTAATTTAAATAGTTCTATTGAGCACACCCCATGCGAGAACCCAAAAATCTACATTTTTCAACAGGATCATAAATGGGAGAATAAAGCTTACAACATTTTAGCCATTTCTTACATCACTTTCCATGCAACATCAGAGTATAATATTTATTATTTATAATAGCAGAATATAACCATGTTATCAGAGTTTCAGCGGAAATAAAATCATTTAATGACAAGTCAAACATTAATATGATGATCCGTTATGTACATCACAACATGTTATAAGTTTTTCCCTTGTAAAATATTTTGGGTGGAAGTTTCAAATAAATTCTATGTCCATAACGTTAATAAAATCCTCGCTGAGCCCACCAGGAGGTTTTCACACACAAGTGTCAGCTCTAGCATCCACCTATCACATGTAATAGGATAGAACAAACCCTGAGTACTCAATTGTACTCTGCAAGACTTACCCATTAGGAGAAAAAAAAGACTCCAAGGATATACAAGACTATCTGGCTTGTGGATTTATTGCATCTGCAGGAGCATTACTAAACGTGCGTCCTTATATTCAATTTTATTAGCAGTCATCATTAGTTCATTAACTAACCATTCTATGTAAGCACCTATGCTACTTTCAAGCAGGTGGTAAGCAATGAGAACCATCTTATCATCTTTCATATTCCAGTTCTTACTACGGTGCTAGATCGTAGACAAGTCGTACCGTATTATACGGCGATTCGCGAACCAATGTATCACAGCTGGGTACCCCAAAACACACGCCCCGCTTGTACCCCAGGCACAAGCAAGACCAACCCACCACTCTCCTATCAAGGGGTCTAGGTCCCTGTCCAAACTTGGACTTCAAGCCCCCACTCCTGAGTCTCGGACTCAGTGTGACACTTAGACCTCCACCATCCCCGCCTCCAATCAGTCAGTCCGGAAAGAGCTGGAACCCACGATAAGAGAGCAACGAGCCTTCCTGCTCCCATAAACAAGTATCTGCTCAGGATAATAAGTCTGTGACCTGACTAGAATCCAATGCAATGGCCAGTCCTTAATCGACACAGGCGGAACAAATATAATCTGAGCCTCGCTCGAATGCCTAACCAAGTCTAGATCCAAAGTACCATTTCATCTGATCTTCAATTATTATCCACATATATTCCCTATGATAGTAACATGATAATGGTAACAATAATATATTTTCTATCTCTCGCGAGTGACAGGCAATCACTCGACTTCTACCGGAGTCCTATAGCATAGCAATCTACACGAGCCTGTCATACTAGTAAGACTCATAGGATAAGGATATATATATGCAAGTGGTTTTCATTCAACTCCTTAAGACTTAATGCACAAGCATAAGATAAAGTGCAGAATAACAGGGGTTATCCACCGGGGCTTGCCTGGGTAAGATATAGACAAAAGTTAGCATTCCATCAAGGTGACACGATCATCAAGGCACCATCTTTTCCGCTACCTTGGTCGACTCCATGATCCATCGTTGTTCCTATTATGGTATACGTGGATGCAATGCAGAGACACAATTAATCAACGGTAACCGCAACTCTTGAATATACGATTACGCTCCACAACCTAACAAGCTAGCTTTACTGACTAACGTGCTGGTCTACATGTCCACGCCGTCAAGTAAGGCTTTGTCTCCAGAAAAATGTTTTAGTTCTAAAATCCCAAGGTGTTTTGGTATTTAACTGATTAAATATATATTTTTGAACTAGGGCTCATTTAGCTACCTTAGCAAACTAATTATTATGGAGCTACAAAAATTACAGTGAGCACCTAATAATGTTAGAGATTCACTGTGAAAGTTTCAGAGCCAACACGATCACCAATTTATCACAACAATTCCTATAAGTTCATGTTTTACCCATTTTAATTGCTTCAAATTAATTAGTCTACTCTTGAAAATTCTATAAAATTAAGTGAACAAAATACATTAGCAAATAGATAATGATTTTAAGAACCTAACAAAATTGGTTTCACAATTTTTGGTCCACTACAAAAATTTATATTGAATTTATAATTTGCCTTAGAAACTAAATTAGAAAATGCCTAGAAAAGAAAAAAGAGGCCGACAACAACCATATCGGCCCTAGCGGCCCACGCGGACGCGGCGCACGCGACAGCTGGCCCAGCAGCTGCCCAAGGCGAGGAAGCTAGCGCCCGTGCCGTGCTTTTTGTAAAATTGTCCCTAGTCTACCTGAATATTATGCGGCGCCTCCGAGTACTATTCCACTAGGGAAACCCTTTGCAGAGAGCAGACCCCAACAAACCTATCTTCGTAACAAGCCGGTCCTCGATACCCTCCCCCTGCGCACGGCGGCGTGGCTCCGCCCATCGCAGCGTGCCCTCGCCGGCCATCACAGCGAAGCACCCGCCCTACGAGCAAGCCTACGAGCATCGCAGGGCCAAGACGAAACCTAGAGCGGTGATTTGAAGCTAAACGATGACCCCAATGTGCTGCCCACACAGGTGGGCAAACCTCCACAGTGGTGCGCCTTCTCCGACGAACTAGGGCTACGACGAGTATAACGGATCAGGCAAGAGAAATAGTATCTAACCTCGAGGCTAGCTACGGTGATGGATAAGACGAGTAAGTGACGAGGTGACTGGACCACGTGCACCCGCACCGCGCGGCGGCGCTCTGGGCACGGCATCAACGTGTCAGCCCATCACCGGTGAAGGTTCTAGCCAAACCGAGGCGAGCACCAGATAGAGGGGTCAATGGTGAGTTTGTACGGCCATCAAATGAACTACAACGATGATAAGAGACTCTCCGTAAATCAAACCAAGACACGACGGTGAAACGGACCGGCGACGAGCAAAACTCGAAATTGGCCGGCAATAAAGCTTGGCTGTGCCCTGGTGCGGGACGGGCTGTTAGCTAGCTTCCACACCTAGCTACTGGGGCATTGAATCGAGGTGCGATGTCCCATGGACGTGAATTTAACTCATGGAGCGGTGCGGTTCCATCGGCGGCGATGGCAGGCAGGCTGCGGCTCCATGACAAAGACAGCAACGTGACGGGACAGTGGAGATAGGCAGTGGCTCGACAGTAGGTGGATCGAGTGGTCGAGACGAACGCCATGCTAGCTAAAGTATTGGCTCTTGGCTGGTAGTGGCCATCGGCCTCGCGGCGGGCCTGCGACGCGGCAAAGACACCCGCGATGTAGCAAAGATGACCCGGTGCGCATGGCTCAGGCATGGACACGACACAGCACCGAGAGCGGCAGCAATAGCAATAGCCCATGGCACAGCATGCAGCCAAAGCCAGCGAGGGAGGCCAGCGGAGCAGCGGCTATGGCCAGAAGCGGCTAGCCCATGACGGCGTGCTCGCTTGGTGACCGGGGTACTCGGGCCGAAAGCCTAGAACGGCGTCTTGCACGCTTCTTAAAGCAGCCCAAAGTTCACTTACTAGCTCGACAAAAACTCGACCAAGTCCATGAACCCCAAATTGGCACTATCGACTTGCTAACGAAGCAATTGTCGTCGCCACTGGATGCCCCAAGAGGAAGTTGGAGAGGCGCCAAGGTAGGTTTGTCGCGCTGAACAATAGTTCACGAACAGAGCGGCAACAGCATAGCTAAAACGCGTCCTGACGTAGTTCAGACACTACTTGCGTGAATATCGCAACTCAAACGCAACCACAACCTTCACCACGCTCAAGTTCACACCTCGATGCACCCAATCATGCAAAAACATAGGTGTGTCGCTTAACCAATTTTGTCAGAATTCAATGCCAAAATGGCATTGCCTATGGTCATTTCAGACTTAAAAAATTTAAAGGCTTGGTTAGAACTAGCAACCACTAGCACTCTTGTCATGATTTTTTAAAAGGTCTAAACTTTATTAACCTCAACCAACACCTACTTCACGCAATAGTCCATACTTTATACCAACCCGGAGGAGCAAGATATTTAAGCACCATTTAACTATTTTGCTCAATATAATTCGCCAAAATGGTACTTTAAACATAAATTCAAGTGTTTGCCGACTTAACGAAAAGAGCTTATCTTAACGTCAAGTTTGATTTTAGAGCTCCCAAAACACTAGTTAGCAACATCTATTTTCCAAAAGTTAAAGTTGCATTGTTATCTACCAAGTTTGTACTTCCAACTTTATTTAAGTGTCACATACATGTTCTATAGTATTTTTGCTTATTAAAAATTGGTTTTAAACCCTAAGTGATATAACATGACTATTGAATCAACTTTTGTTTAGCATTTTTGTTGATCGTTTTGAGTTACGGAAATTGATCTACACACTTTATCACATGCATTGACACATAAACATGATGCTCATGACATAGTTTAGCAAGTTGTTTAAGTAGTAACACCGAGGGTGTTACACAAGATTTTGAAGGTACGATATATGTACACGTGCATTCATAGGTGAATGTCTCCAATGTGTAATTCGCAAAAATACTTTTTTTTCTAAAATTATATGGAAAAAATCATGGATCTATGATTGTTGATGATACACACACCTTCAGGTCTTGTTTGAAAATAAGATAGCTCTAAAAATTAAAGGTTGTTTCTTTCAAAATACGGTTTAATTTTATCAAATGAAGTGTGATATAAGCAAAAATGATCATACGGGCATTTTTTTAAGTTATAAAGATGGAGAGAAGAGAGATTTTACCTAGATAAAACTAGGTATATACTGTTTCTTTTCCTCGAAAACTGTTGTGGAAACAACGCGTATACGTGAACGGACGCCTACGGATAAACAAACGTCTCTTCACGAGTGATCCCATCCATCAAGTACAAGATTAATGGATAGAATTAAACAATTAGTTTTACTCCCAAAAAGCATGTCTTTCAGAAACAATCATGTCTTTTCGTGATATCCTTTCACTTATATAAATATATTTTAGAGATCGATCAAAGCAACAATTCTTCCAAATCTTATTCATTTACCTTCACTTCTGACACGTTACCAGCACTTTGCTCTACGTGATCAAGGAGGAGAACGACAGAGCCACGCATGTACCATCACCGAACTCGATACCGGAGATGAAGTCGACGTCCTTTGTTGCAAGTGATGCCGGCGTTATCTTCTCCGACACCAATGTTTTGCATGAGAACAAATCTCGGAAGGACAGAAGATCGATCAACACAGGCCAGCATGTACTGTCCTTCGATTCCTTCATCATGTACGGCATGTAGGAAATCAAACACAGGCAAGAACATCTTCAGAGGAACAACAATCACGGTAAGAACCATGTAGAATGAGTTTGTTGATGTTTACCTTCCTCTGGACAATCGTACTCCCGGTTGTGTTCCTGTGATCTTCTCAATTGGTTGTGCCGGCATGGCTGGCCGTCTGCTGCTTCATGGCTTGAGCGACGGTGGCGTCCGGTGCTCGCCATAGATGCACAGGGACAAGGCGGCGAAGACTTCACCCACTCGGCTAGGAGCAGCGCCTACGTGCCCAGGCTGACTGCCTAAGGCCAGCGGCGGTGCTCAGGCACCCGGCCGACAGTGGCTCACCCACCTGATGCACACCCGTCTATAGCCGCGTGCTTGCTGGTGCTTGGCACCATTGATGGCGGCACTTTCCTGGACGGCGGTTGCCGCACGACAAGCTGGTCGCGGTGCCCGTGTGCCGCCAGGCCGACAGCGGTGTCCGTGTGCCAAGCGGCGGGGCCGCCCGAAAGGCCAGCGCACCTGACTGCCTATGGTGGCGTCCACGCATCAGGCTAGCGACCCCGCGTGTTGCCGGAAACGCCCGCGGCCAGCGCCTCCGCCTGGACACGCACGCGGCCCCTGCGCCTGACGGAGGCGGTCCTGCGCTCGCACCTCGCTCTCGGCGTCTGATCCAGGCCGACGGCATCTCGTCCGGGCAGTCAAGGGACGGGATGGATGGGGAACCGTCCGCTCGATGGTTGTCTCCCTGGAAAGGATAAGGATGTGCGTTTCTGCATAAAAATCCTTCTTTCTCCTATGAATTATATGATAATCCTAATAGATTATTGATGTATTCCAAATTTATATTTAAGCCCTCAGGTTTTAACATACCGTGGTGTACTATATTTACTCCACGTAAATACTCATTTTACACCTTAGATTTAAAATGCATTATGATGCATAATATTTACCTCTTGTAAATAAGTATTTTTGAGACCCATGTGTCATCAAGAATTGCATCATGACATGTACTGCTGCAGATGAATTTACCACTATAAATTCGCTTTCCAGATCCTATGTTTTCTAGAATTTTTAGTACTCTTTAAAGTGCTTGTCCAAATTAGCAAACCCAATAAACATGTGCTATTAACATTGCATGTTCAAAGTGTTTGTCTAAATTGGCAAACACAATAAACATGTAGTATAATTATTACATTGTTCAAAGTGTTTGTCCAAAATGGCAAACCCAATAAATATGTAGTATTACTATCATGACCTTATTATTGTAATTACTTTGTTATTTGCAATTTTCATTTCATGTTAAGCCCTTTTATGCTTTATTATTTAAAGCTCATAGTGCTTACATTTTTAATGCAAAATCCATTAAGTGTATTACCTCATTATTTATATATAACACAAATGTTTCACATTGTATGTTGGCCATACACAAAGTAGCACCATAGTTGCTGCTGTAGGATCTACACTAAGTTCTTAGTGACTATCCTCAACGTGCGTATCCAACATCACAAATTGGAACATATGGTCTACATCTTTCACAAAGATGACTACCATTAAATCACATTCATATTAGCCATACACAAGGTAGTACCAAGTTACTACTATAGGATCTACACTAAGTCCACAACTTAGTGACTATCCTCAACGTGCATACCCAATTAGTTTACGGATTAACTAAGGTCTACATCAACTTTTTTGATGATTACCTAAAAATGTGTTTACACAAAATTATATACACTATTTGGCATCCACTTACATACAATGATGTCCATGTTATTAGAGGTCTACATCTGTATGATGACTACCTCTAAAGTGTTAGCATAAATATGAGGTTCACACCATTAGCAATACAAGACTCATCTTCTTTCAAAATTTATTTTGCATTAATTAATACAACACTATATCATAGCAATTTTAAATTTACCCTTAGAGTAAATTCAGAAAATCTATGGTTTAAACCTTGTGGGAATAATAGCCAGGAAAGAGTTTGATCTCTCGCTCTTGAGGGTCACCATTATCTAACATGATCAATGGACGTAGTGTTAAACTTGATGTTCTATGGATTTATAGCAATATTTGATGCTCCTCATAAGAGAGCATCACCGCTTATGATCAATTTAAATATGGAGTTTTATTTAAATAAAGCACCATACACATCTAGATCACAAAATGTGTATCTCAATGGATATAAATCGATGCACTATATGGCTAGCTCTGACACAATGATATGAATAACATATGGCAATAATTTTGCCCAAATGCCAACTATGATTGGTCACAAATTTATCTCTTGGACTTTATGTCAACTTGAGAATAGAATTATGTTGTTCTCCAAATATCCTCAATATTGCATTTTTGTGATTGCTCCCAACTTACCATACGAATTATAGATTAATTTCTACAATACTTCAGGTCCAAATGTATGATAAACTCTAATTGAGCAATCATCATTAGCATCATAGCGATGCTCTATTACCTCAAGTACATTGAATTTTCAGAATCATAACAAGTTCGATGCCATGTAATAATGTTATCCAAAGAACTTTAATGGTAAGATTTAACGCAACAAGAAGTGACAGCCCCATGCATTTCTTAGGGTCAAAGCATTTCCCCAACATAACAAAGTCATACTTTGTCCCAATTGTGGATATTAAAGCCACACAACTTGAAAATGTCATGCCTTGAGACATTTAGTTGATCGATATTAGAAATCCATTGGACATATATATCTGACTCAATAATAAAGATATGAAGTTATGGCTATATAAGCCTTTTATCCCCTTTCTTAATGCAATGATACGCAGCTCTCCTGCGTATTCCAGAAAAAAATAAAGATATGAAGCACGCTTCAATCTTCAACCTAACACCACCAGAAAGGCCAATTGTTCACAATAAGTTTCATGAAGAAACCAACTAGCAACCAAACACTTAATCAATAAGTGGGTCTTATGAGCATGGATAAGACGATCATCAAATTTACTTCGCTTGATCCATTTGGAAGACAAAAAAAAGTCTCCCATTTACAAAGATACATAGTATCTACATCCCATTTTAGTGTTGTAATATAAAATGTTGTCATCAATTTCAATTGAATATCACAATAATGTGCCACCACATTTGATATTCCATTGATTAGCTTGTATGTAATATATATATCTACAAAGAATGTCATTATATTCTTCATGCTATATATAAACTTATATGGGAGTCAATCCAAATGCAAAGAGGAATTTTGCCTAGTGGATAGTTGCACCACAAACTATACATAGGGAAGCAAAATATTCCTAAACTCTTACATAGAGACAAGGAAATATTTTGTTAATCGCTTGACGCGATGTCATGATAGTGGGCTTTGGTCATGCTACTATCATACTCCCTATTAGTACTCAAATAATAATCACGGATCCATTCTTGTATTCTGATTTCATAATGTACCAAATTAAAATTATAGAGATATCTGTCAATGTGGTTTTCATATGGAAACCCCAAGATGACAACTAAGAGGAGTATTTTCTCTTAACAACGGATATGACAATACTTAAACAAAACATCCTCAGTTGGATTTGACTACACATACATAACTTGTATCCAATGTTGCGTACAAATAATTCTTTCTCTTGATGTTGACAAGACTTGTCACATTTGTCTTGGTTATTTAACTAAAAAAGATAACGTGAAAATTATTGTCAATTCTATTGGTCATAGCATCAATATGAGCCACTAAATTTCTTGAAGAAATTTAAAAACATACATGTGACTCTATCTACCATTTTATGGACCATAAAGGTACTATGTATGGCACATTTATGCATCCATAATATAGTCCCAGGTGTGTCTCTTAGTCATGAGAACCATCACTATACCAAGCTCATTGCTTGAAATCTTCAATTTAGAGCAAATTATCCTGTACGTGGGATCAAATCTATTTTATATGAAACTGTTTGGTTTTTGAGTACTATATATCAAGTATCTTATGTCCATATCAATAATGATTTGATTGAGTCTCTTATTGAGAATCAAACTGCATGACTTATTAAAATAGAATTGTAATTTATCAGCACTAAGTTGTTTTCATGCGGCCTTACACACCGCATCATTAATTCAAGTTCATCAAACAACACTTATACAACTCCCTCCATTGCAGTACGTATGTGGAACTTTGGCCACAACCAAACATTTCCCATCTGTGCATCGAGTATGTTTGCACATACCGATATCACCACCCAAGCATACCTATGGACATTAGGGATCTCAATGAGGTAACTCTACAGGGGATTTATACATTGCCCGTATGTTGATCACAATTTGAGGATAGTTCCAGGCATTAGGGAGAGATTTATACCACACAAAGAATGCCAGGAATTAAAAGAGCAATCCTCACATTCACGTACCAAAGAATCTAAACCTAATTGTTCAGAACATCTCATATTTGCATCATATTGCAAAGAATATGTCAAAAGCATTTACATAATAAGGTGTCACAAAATCCTCTTATCCTGCTCATAATATGCCTGAAAGAATGGATGTACCAATTAAAACCATTCAACTCCCACTTCTAAAGAAGAGGGAAAGAAGTATAGCCGCTCCTAAGAATAATGCTCCAAGTAAACGTCCGAGAATACCGAGGACAAGATCCTACGTATTAGTAAATCTAAGCCAACCTCAAGTTGGTAGACACCCAAATGGATGAGCATCTAAAACCCAGATCAAAATCCACCCAGATCAATGGTGCACCCAAATTCTGATCCTGGGACATCAAAACATCCTGACTCCGTATGGGAAATGACATGGAGTTCAAAAGGGTTAATATTTTCACATGCTATATTGATTCCAAGCAATGAATCAATCATTTAAAGACTACAAATTGTCGTGACATAAACTCCTCAAAGATTGCTCTTCACCTTACTAGATCTAGACTTCACACTCCAATTTGGTCAAACTAAAAGGTGGCAATTAAGGAGAATTGCTCTTGTTCAATGATGAGTAGTACTATAGTAATGTCTTCTCTCACATAGTTTCCTTTCAGAAGCAAGGTGGTGAACAATGAGAGCTTGTAGCATATGGTTTCACGCAGAGACCTAGCATAACATACCCCATGGTATATGTGAAAATTAAGTTTCCAAATTCAATAATTGGCAGATCAAATGAATTTGATAGATTCAGACGTA